CAAGCCCATCTGGTGGGGTCTCCTTGGCCTCCTTGATCAAGAGGTCAGACGACCCACCACCATTACAGAACGTTTTGCAAGATGCTCATAGTCCCTGGGAACTAATCAACCTAGGAGGGCAAGGAGCAAGCAAATTTTTTAAAAGGAATAAAGCTAATCACTATGGAGTCATCATAATTCATTTTTAGGACTGGATAGGTCCCAGGCATTAAATCATCTCATTTCTCTTTCTCCTCTCTCTCTCCTTCCCTCCCTTCCTCCTCCTTCTTCCTCTCTTTTCTCCTCTCTCTCCCCTCTCCCTTCCTCCCTCCCCCTCCCTCCCTCCCTCCTCCTTCTCGGGCTTCAAGTGTCCCAAAGCTGACTTTGAACTCACTATGTAGCAAGGCTGACCCTGAACTTCTGATCTCTACCTCCAGATTACACAAGCATGTACCATGATGCCTGGTTTATGAGGTGCTGGGGATAAACTCAGGGCTTCATGCATGCAAGGCAAACACTCTATCTGAGTTACACATCTTTCTTTTGAATTGAGGAAACTGAGGCCCAGGGGGAGGAAGTGATTTGTTCATGAAGTGCTCCTTTCCAGTATGGGCAAAGAGGTGAAATGAGGCTTTGAGGGGAAATCTCTTAAAGCTTTTCTACTTTTCCCTTCAGTTTTCATGTTAAGCTCACCCCACCCATGTGGAAATGGTGTTTATGAAATGTTTACTGGAGTGTATGCTGGTAGAGTCTGTGCCTATTTTCACTGCTCTCTCCCTGAGCCACACAAAAAGAACCAAGGTCTCTATTATGTATTTCCAACTAAAAATATTTTCTTATTCTGTTGGAAATACTCTGAACATAGTTGTTTATTTAATTACAGGTTTGGCCCATTTTCCATTTATGGGGCTGACAAATATTTTTAAAAACTTCATCTATAATAATATTTACTAGCAGGCTCTAATTTTAAGTATAACCCATGGGAGCTATTTTTCCTTTTCCTTTTTATATATTTTCCTTATTTAGTTTTGAGATAAGGGTCTCACACTATAACCTAGGGTGACCTAGAACTCACTATGTTAGCCTCAGCAGCCTTGAATTTGTCTTAGCCTCTTGACTGCTGGGATTACAGATGTGCACCACCAACTCTTTCCACTGTTTTATTAATTTTTTTTTTTTTGAGACAGGTCTTCCCTGTAGCCCCAGCTAGGGCTACTTGCTATGTAGACCAGACCAGATTGGCTTTGATCTTACAGAGATCTGCCTCTGGAGTGCTGGGATTAAAGGCATGCACTACCACATCCGGCTCCTTCCACATTCTTATTCTTCTTGAACAGTAAGATTTCTTTGGATTCTGTTCACCACAAAGCACTGAGCTTATCTTGCTTTTAGAAGAATTTTTCTTGCCCAGGGAGAAAATTGATCCTAGGTTAGAATACTGGTCCACTCCTTTTCAGGTTTGACCTTGGCTGAGCTACTGAATCCCTCTGGGCCTCACTTTTCTTATCAGTAAAACAGGAATAAAACACAGTTGTGGGCCAGCAAGATGGCTTACTGGGTGAAAGTGCTTGCTGACCTAAGTTTAATTTCCAGGACCCACAAGGTGAAACGAAAGAACTGACCCCTACGATTTATCCTCTGTTTTCCATTGTGGTATGTATGTGCCCCCCCAATAAAAAATAAAAAACTTTAAAAAATTAAAAACCATGCTTGCTTCGGCAGCACATATACTAAAATTGGAACGATGTGATTAGCATGGCCCCTGCGCAAGGATGACACGCAAATTCGTGAAGCGTTCCATATTTTTTTCTTTTTATGTCCTGTAATTTTTGTTGAAAAATCTAAAAATATAATGTGATAACTTGGGATAAATTTCCCAGAAAAAAAAATTAAAAACATTTTAAAAATTAAAAGCCACAGTAGTTTGGTTTATATGGTCTCTCTCTCTCTCTCTCTCTCTCTCTCTCTCTCTCTCTCTCTCTGTGTCTATGTGTCTGTGTGGGCACAAGCATGAAGGCCCTGTTGGAGTCTGTTCTCTTTCACCCTAAGGGTCCTGGGGACTGAATTCACGTTCCCAGGTTTGGCAGCAAGTACGTTTGTTTACTGAGTCATCTTGCTGGCCCCCAACTGCTTCTAGAAGCACAGCATGGATCTGGTGAACTTCGGAACATGATTCTGACTAACAGTAGTCAGCTGTAAAAGGTCCCATGAATCTATTTGTATAAAATGCCCCCAAAATAGTAAAACAGACAAGTAATCACCTGGGGGCTCAGGGAGGAGGTTTGAGGGTGATTGTTTAAGGTGTATGAAGTTTCTTTGAGGTGATAGGATAGAAATGTGGAATAAAATCAATACATAGCATATTTAATGTATTGAATTTGTATACATTTAATTAATAAGCTAGCTATTATTTGTTTTTTTGTGTGAGTATACTGTCTGCATATATGTAAGTGCACCTGTGTGTGCAAAGCCCATGGATGTCAGAAGAGATCATTGAATTCCCCTGGAACTGGAGTTGTGAACAGCTGCTGCCATGTAGGTGCTGGGAATTGAACCCAGGTCCTCTGCAAAAGCATTCAGTGCTCCTAATCACTTAGCTATCTCTTCAGCCCCCTAATTATTTATGCAGTGTTGGGGTTTGAGCCTAGTGCCTCATGCATGCTAGATGAGCACTCAACTACTGAGCTGCATCCATAGCCCCCAAATTAACAGAGTTTTTTCCTTCTCTCTCTGTCTCTCTCTCATACACACACACACACACACACACACACACACACAGTCACACACATCACACACATTTTTGTTTTGAAACAAGCTATGTGGCCAGTGGCGGCCCTGGAACTTGCTATTGAAACCAGGATGCCCTCAACTCATACAGCAATTCTACCGCCTCTGCCTCCCAAATGCTTGGTTTACATGTGTTCACCACTAGGCTTTGTGGGAGGCTTTTATTTTTTCCCTTGGCTCTGGGATTGAACTCAAGGCCTTGTACATACTATGCAAGTGCCCTACTACTGAACTCAGCCCCATGGCATACTTTAAAATTATTAAAATGAAGACAGGAGTTCACCTTTAATTCCAGCACTCAGGAGGCAGAGGCAGGAGGATATCTTTGAGTTCCATGCCAGCTAGGAGACCCTGTCTCAAAAAGACAAAAAAAATTGTTAAAATTATCAGCTCTATATTGTAAGGGTTTTGTTTTAAAAAAAGAACAGGGATACAAGGTGGGGCTCCTCTTTTACTTTTACTTAGTTACACACACACACACACACACACACACACACACACACACACACACGTTGTACATCTGATGTGGCGGTTAGAGGACAACTTATGGGAGTCAGGGAGTCAGTTCTCTCCTTCCACCATTTGGGTTCTAGGGATCAACTCAGGTTTTCAGCACAAGCCTTCTGGGGGACGCTTCACATTCAAACTATATTAGACTGTGGCTGGCGCAGTCCCTGACCAGAGCACTTGGAGAGTGATGGAGACATGGAGGGTTTCCTCTGCTTGGGATAAAGCCAGGGAAAGTTTAGAGCAGAGAAGGGATTTGATCTGATTTTCATTTGCACAGAACCACTCCTGCTGCTGTGATCACAGTAAGGGAGCTAGTGTGGAAGCTGGGGTGCTCCTGAAGTTGTTGTTGAAGCTCCCTGTGGCAGGTGGTTTAGACAGGCTCTTATGGAGGAGGTATTGGGCAAAGGATATTCAGGAGCTGGCCTGTGGGAGAGATTTCACTTGGAAGTACAAGAGAGAACTCAGGTGGAACTCAGGTGAGGGGAAGAGATGTTGGCTAAGAACTCTGTCCTAGTGGAAATGTGCCAGCAGCCCAGAGAGAATTTACAAGCAGAACTCACTCCTGTACTGATTGGATATCACCAACTGATTGTTGTCTCATTAGTCTAGCCTGGCCTAGAACTCACTATGCAGCCAAGGATGATTTTAAATTTCTAATCTCTTGGTGATAACCGGGTTGTACCTGTAGCTCAGTTGGTAGAGTGCCTGTCTAGCATGTATAAAGTCCTGAGTACCATCCCTAGCATGGGGGTATATGCCTGTAATCCCAGCAACTGGGAAAGTGGAGGCAAGAGGATAAGAGGGTATGCGCATGTGAATGAGAGTGTAGGTGCCCATGGAGGCCAGATGCCTTGGATTCCCTGAGCTGCCTGGGTGCTGAGAAAGGAACTGAGGTCCTCTGCAAGACTAGTACACGTTCTTAACTGCTGAGCCATCTCTCCAGCCCCAAGCTTTTGTTGTTGCTGTTTTTGAGGCAGTTTCTCATGTAGCTCAGGTTGGCCTCATCAGGTGGCCAAGGATGACCTTGAATTCCTGATCTTCCTGCCTCTACCTCCCCAGTGCTGGGACCCCAGGAATAGTCTATGCCAGTTTATGAGGTGCTGGGGATCGACCTAGGATTTTGTGCATGCTAGGGATGCACTCTACCAACTAAGCTCTAAGCTACAATCACAGCCCCATGCTGGGCACTTTCTGACAGCCTTTTTCATCCAAGTTGTCCAATAACCATACAAGGTGGAGAATTATCTTATTCTCTTCTTTTTTCAGTTTTTGCTTTTTTCTTTGGTGGTAGGGATGGAACCAGGACTTCATGCACACTGGCAAGTGAGCTACCACTGAGCTCCCAGCAGCAGTGCTTCTGTCTGAAATGAAGATTAGGCAAAGTCAGAGCTCAGAGTAGCAGAGCAAGCATCAAAAACCTAGGTCTGATGGTTACCAGGTACCCACTGTCTTTTCTGAACAGATTCCCCAATGCAACAGTGTAATAGTGACACAGAGAGGAGGCCAAAGCTTGTATGGACTTCGGACTTTCCATTTGACACACCAAGTCTGTTCCTGTAAAAGGGGGCTGTGTGCCTCCTGGAGTGGCCATGTCCTTGGAGAGCTCATGAGGAACTGTCAAGTGTCACTTAAGTGCAGCCTAGGACCTGTCCTGTCTCTAGCTTTACTGGTTTCTCTGGAATTTATCTTCAAGTCTCTAACCTCACTTTCCCCACTTCTTCCAGGACCAGCAGAGAATAAATGCCAAGAACTCCTGTGCAGGTGTGACGAGGAGCTTGCCTATTGCCTCTCTGGGGCGGAGTACCATTTAAAGTACCTCTTCTACCCCTCGGTTTTATGTCAGGAGGATTCGCCCAAGTGTAACTGACTGGCTGAACTTGAAATGTTCACCTGCACAAGGAAATAAAGCTCTCTTTCACTAATGAACAACAGCATTGAGTTTTCTGCAGAAGGAAGCGGAGGTGAAGTGATAAAGCTGTAAGCCTCATGTTTACTTTCTCCTTCCAAACAGGAATTCAGGACTGTTTAGTTTCTAGTTTGATGAAGGTCAAAAGTCCTAGGCCTGGGCTTGGTATCATCTCTGAAAAGGTGCTCTTTCTCTTCTAACTTGCTAACTGCTGATCAGATGTGGATGAACACCTGCTATGCACCTGTAAGCAGTCATGGTAATAAGAGTGCCACATGATGCACCACCCTTGTTAAAGTCTAAGAATTGTTACTATAATAAAGGGTAGGCTTATCGTACTCCATCTTTAGCGGTTACAATTCATTTCCTGGAAGCCAGGTGTGGTAGCATGCACCTGTAGCATTCTACTGGGGAAGCTGAGGCTGGAAGATCACTTGAACCCAGGACTTTGAGGCCAGCCTGGGCAACAGTGCAAGATCCTGGAACTCACTCTGTAGACCAGGCTGGACTCCAACTCACAGAGATCCGTCTGCCTCTGCCTCCTGAGTGCTGGAATTAAAGATGTGCACCACCACACATGGCTAAGACCTGGTTTTTAAAAGAAAACAATGATATTTTCTGGGCAGGCAGTACAGCTGTATTAAAGCATTTGCCCATTTGCTCTGGGTTTGATCCCAATATCTCAAGAAAAATAAAATAGTAAATAAAAAAGAAGCTGGGTGTGGCAGTGCATGCTGTTAACCCCAGCCCTCAGGAGGAGATTGAGGCCAGCTTGGTCTACGTAGAGTTCCAGGCCAGATAAGGATAGGGGGAGACCTTGTCTCAAAATACCAAAGCAAAACAAAACAAAAAAGGGGCTGGAGAGATGGCTTAGCGGTTAAGAGTGCTGGCTGCTCTTGCAGAGGAACTGGGTTTGATTCCTAGTACTAACACTAAACAACCCTCTGTAATTCCAGAAGCAGGATCTAATACCCACTTCTGCTCTCCACAAGCACTGCACAACATGGGTGCACTGACATACATGGGAGGCAAAACACTCATACACATAAAAATAAAAATATCACCCCCAAAACCTCCTGAACATCCAGGCAGTTGAGACTATGCCCTATTGTTTTCATAAGCTTCTCTTACTTAATTATTTGGAAACTTCTTAAAGAGTTTTATCAGGCTGAGGATGTGGCTCAGTGGCAGAGCCCTTGCCTACCATGTATGAGGCCCTGGGTTTCAGCTCTGGCACTGTCAGAAAATAGAAGTTTTATAGTCAACATTTGAGTATTGAAGGTATTTTCTGTTTCCCTTGACTGTTTCCATTATAATGCTTGTAAAGAAATCCCCTCTAGACTGGAGATACAGCTGAGTTAGTAAAGTGCAAAGCCCCCAGTTTAATCTCTAGCATCACTAAACTGGGTGTGGTGACATATACCTGTAATCCCAGCACTCTAAGCTGGAAGATCAGAAGTTTAAGGTAATCAATCTTCAGCTATCCAACCAGTTTGAGGTCAGTCTGGGCTACGTGAAATACTGTTTTTAATTCCCCTTGTCCAAATTTGGATAGTGTTTTCAGAGTCTGCCTTGATCTGAGCATACCCAATCTACCGGGAAATAAGGAACAAATATCCAGCCCATGTGTTTTCTTTAGGTCAAATCTCCTTTGCCTCTTTCCCAAGAACAGATGTGGGTATTACTCATCTTTGAGGCAGGGTATGGGTGCAGGTGGGGGGTCAGTGTTGGGGGGGTGCCACGGTGGAGGTAGAGTTCTGGTCTTTGAGGCTGACAACGTGTGGTCTGACTTGGGCACTCCTGTACCCATGCCAGTCAGTGTCAGCACAGGGACCTCTGTCAACCAGCCCCTACCTTATCATGGGGAAGAAAACCAGGAATCCCCAGGGCTATGACTAGGAATGCAGACACTACAGCCTCCCCAGACTCAGAGACCATCTCATGCACGTCATGAGTTGAACCAGTAAAATCAGGTGGCCCTGGGGCTTGATGAGCAAAACCAGAAGGAAGAAGAACATTCTCCCTTTCACTGAAAACACCTCTGGGCAGCCTCTTGTCTCAACATCCCATGGATCTGGAAACTCAAGTATGACTAGATAAAATCATGTCAAGCAACGCATATTGTTTTTGGTATTTCTTAATCAGTTTTTCATTCTACGGAAGTTTTATTTGTATAAAAATCTTTATTTTTGATTTCAAGTAATTTCTTTAACCTTAAGATGCAAAGTTTGAGTGGAATCTTCACTCAAGAGATACAAAGGGATAATGAACTGTTCATCAAGTCACACACACTTTGGATGCAAGCTTGTTTCCACTAGGCCAAGGATGATGAGCTCACACTTTATACATGCTGTATCCACACTGGCAAGAGATAAAGGTCACCCTTCAGTTCATTCTGTATTTATGATGATAGCACTTGGCATAATTATACCTGTTGTTTACACTTCAAAGCAGGACAATAACGATTATACATTATATAGTATGAGGTCAGATTATGTTTCCTTGAACAAAGACTATGCTGGATTTATATTACAGATTAAACTTTTCAAAATAAAACCCCCAAACAATGCTCTTCAGTTGCCTAACTAGGCTTAGCCCCCTGCTCACAGAAGGGGAATAGCAATGATCACAAACAGGAAACGGCAAAGACAGCTAAGTATCCTTTACTTGAAGCCTGAAGCTTTCTCCAAGTTTACTCTGAAACCTACCAACTATACAACAAGACAACTGTGATTGAATTCTGGGTTTTCCTTTGCATTTCTTATGCGTAACTATCTACACCTATGACACTTTATCCCTGTCTTCTTAAACTTGACTCATAGGATAGGCCTGGCCCCAGTGAACCTGGTTTGTGGAGTCTGTCAGTCACTGAGGTTGGGACTGCTGAGCATGGTGGCCTTCTGACATGTTACCCCACACTGTGTCTGAGGACCCTGAGTCCTAGTAGCTTGACCCTCCCAAGTCCCTGTAAGAAGGGGTGGCTTGGTGTTGGCCACAGAATCCTGTATGTGCTGGTGACAGCCTTGGCTGTCAATGGTGCCACAGACAGAGGGAAGAGGACCTGGTTGAAACCTTGACACAGAGCAGCACCTTGCTTTACAAGGGGTAGAAACAGGAAGTCCACTCCCTCCTTTACCCCTTTGAAGCATCACAGCTCAGATGTCGGGAGACCTGCGGAGTCTCTCAGGGTCGAGGTGCTGCCAGTCATAACACTTGGGTTTCCAGCCGTCGGACTTCCTTGACCACAAGATCAATGTTAATAATTGGATTGAAGTACAGGGCCCAGTAAAATAAACAGTTGCAAACAAACTGAGGAATGAGGGGCCAGAACATGGCCACAAAAAGCCCCTGAGTTGATACTTTCCAAAAATGGCTCCACATTCTCTGGGGCACTGTCCTGAAAAGAGAAGAGAGTAATTGAGGGCAGGCTCAGATGTGCTGGAGCTCAGACTATGGCTGTTCCTCTAGGCTTTGATGATCTGCTGCCTGTGCTGTGAAGATCCTGTCCTCTGTTCCCAGTGCCTGGGGAAACACCTGTGCCTGACTAACCTATCTTCAGCTCCAAGCATATACCCTATAGGGACAGTCTTAGGGCTATTTCCTGGTCCCACACCTGCATAGGCTCCACTCTATCTGCTTTGTGGGAGGTGGGGGGGAGAATGTTTTTTTGTTGTTTTGAGACAGGGTCTCCCTGTAGTCCCAGCTGGCTTAAAACTCACTATGTAGACCAGGCTGCCTTGAACTCACATCGATCTGCCTGCCTCTTCCTCCTGAGTGCACCACCAGGCCCAACTACAATTCTGTTTTTTTTGCAATGGGGGGGGTCCTCCCTGTATCCACAGCTGGCCTGAAACCCACTATAAAGACCAGGCAGTCCTCAATCTCTGTTTGCCTGCTTCTGCCCCCCAACTGCTGGGATTATAGGCATGTGCCACTGACGTCTGGCTGTTTTTTTGTTTGTTTTTTGATAGAAGGTCTCATGTAGCCCAGGCTGGCCCCAAACTTGCTTTGTAGGTGAGGATGACTTTGAACTTCTGCTCCTCTTGCCTTTACCTCCTAAGGTCTATTTTAGGTATAGACCTTTGTATCTATGTTTGTATTCTACTATGGATAGAACTCAGGGCTTTGTGCATGCTAAGCAAGTAGTGTACCAACTGAGCTATATCCCCAGCCCCCAACACATTTTTAAACATATTTTCTCTGCAGGGTTGTAGGTCCTCTGAATAGTCTGTCTTCTTCACTGTAAGAACTGTAGTGCCCCATAGAAAGGCAGGGTCATGGCAGAAGGATGGACATACATATTCTCTACCTCAGTTAGTGAGTTTGCCAAATGGAAATCCATGAGGGAGATCCTTGCCAGATTCTCACAAATTCTCCCAAGGCTACTTCTGGTCACATGGCCAAGAATCTTATAAAGGTGATGGGAAGTCAAGAAAAGATATAGTGCATGTGCTGCCTTCCTGGAATCACCTGCTGGAAATAGCTTGAGTTGCTTTGGGGATGCCTCTCTTGTTTATTTGGGGGCGGGGGTGTACTAGGGATTGAGTCCAGCCCCTCCCTCCCATATTGTTCCCATGTGGTCTGGGTTGGATATATGCTTCATACCTTGAGCTTGGCCAGGCGAGCCCTGCATACCCCTGCAGAATGATGGGTTGAGTGGGCATGGGACTCAAGCTGGACCTATCAAAGGCTGTGATCCTCAGATTTGTTCCAAGTGTGATGGGGAAAGAAGTGCTTGCATTCCACTGGCACTACTAAGTAGAACCCTGAAGCAGCCAAAAACAGCATGAGAAAAGTGGAGAGGGAAGCAGGCCAAAAGATGGAGGCAGGCTGTGAGAGGCAGGAAGCTTCAAGGACAGCAGTGTTTCCTTTGTGGTAAACTCAATTTAGGTTGACTCTTGTCACTTAAAACCAAGAGATCTACTCAAAGACTGGCTCGCTCAATGTTCTCATTTCCTACATTAATCCAGAGAAGCTATTGTTCCAAGCAGTGGCAGAGCAGGATTAGAATGTGTGTCTATAGAATTCCCCAAGATATCTCTCTGTACTTCCCTGTGCTGTTCCTTTCCATGAATTACCTACTTCTTCATTTACTCCTCAATTATTAAAAACTTTCAAATACACCCCCCCTTAGAAATGATCTCTTTATTAAACAGGGATAAGATAAGGAGGCTGGGCATAAAGGTAATAGGATTGTTAAGTTTGAGACTGCTGTAGGCTGTGTGTATACACGCACATATACACACAGTATATGTGTATCTAAATATACACATAAATACATGTGCATGGTGGTAACACTGTAATGATGAGTGAAGAGCCAGATGCAATCGTGCATGCTTATAGCCTCAGCTACTCAGAAGCCTGAGGAAGGATGATCATCAGTCTGAGGCAATTTGAGGCCGCTTAGTAAGACAGCCATCTCAAACAAAACAAAACGACCCCCCAAAAACCCCCCAAAACAAAAACCTAAAAGAAGATGAGGAACCAAACAAAAACACCGTACACAAAGAAGCCTGCCTCCTCAACACGAAGTCATCTGCCTATTTTTTGCTTAAGGAGTTATTTCTCAAATTAGAGTCTGAGAAGTCTAGGCTTTTTTTCCCTTTAAGCTTGAGAATCCTTCAAAGGGGAGCTTCCCCCACATGGCATTTCTTTCCCACTCTTTGTTGCTCTACCATCTCCCAGATAAAAGCACTTACCTCAGCTCACTTCTTGACCAGATCCTCCAAAAAGAGAATAATTCCAGAACTGAGAGCAGCATGGCATTGACAATGAGGAAGCGTGATGTCCAGTAATGGACCTCCAGCCAGTCCCAGGCAAATTCAGCAATCAGCTGGTACGGGAGGAAGGAGTACTTGACAAGGAATTCTCTCCACTGCCTCCACGTGGGCTCTCTCAGGTCCTTGGGGAACACAGAAATCCCCAAATCACAGGACTGACTTTGCACAAGCAACCATGACAGGAAAGCTTTACATCTGTACACACACAGACACACACAGACACACACACACCCAAACCCCTAAATTTTTTTTTTTGAGACGGGCTCTTATTAAGCATCTCTGGCTGGCCTCAAACTCTTGTTCCTCCTGCCTCAGGACTCTGAGTGCTGGGATCAAAGGAATGTATTACAATGCATGACTTAAGTGGTTAAGAGCACTGGCTGTTCTTGCAAAGGATCCAGGTTCAATCAGTTCCAGGGGGTCCAACGCCGCCCTCTGTCCTCCTCAGGCACTGCATGACATGAATGCACTTACATACATGCAGGCATAACACTTATATTAAAATAAATAAATAAATAAAACAAAAATTTAACCCAGCGATCTTCCTTGTAATAATTTATTTTAAAATAGATAAATGGGCCAGGAGTGGTGGTGCATGCCTTTAATCCCAGCACTTGGGAGGCAGAGGCAGGTAGATCTTTGTAAGTTTGAGGCCAGCCTGGTCTACATAGTGAATTCCAGGACAGCTGGGGCTACAGGGAGACCCTGTCTCAAAAAAGACAAAAAAATAAATAAATAAATAAAAATAAAAGAACTCTGCCTGGACTGGCTTAGTATTGTATAGATGTTGAGCCTCCCTCCCTCCCAGCACAGCCCAGGCCCTTTCTCAGGCTATGT